ATTTCCATCTATACTTTTTAGCACGTAGCTATTTATTATTAGCATTATTCTTCCGATGTCTGATTTCTTTTTAATTATAGAAAATGCGTTTTTCTAAGGTACATAAACTTTTCGGATTGACTGTATAGCCAATACATCCTTAAAGAACTATTACTACCTACTGCAGTAATATTGGAAAACTAGAGAAATATGATTGTGATCATGCGAATATACGAGAGTGAGTCCAGTTTCCCTACAAACGCAACAACCGAAATGACCTTGCGCAAGATCATTCTCCTCCTCTATTGATCAGTCCACATATGACCACTGATTTTAAATATCCACCTCCAGGATTGGTCATTTGTTCAACGATCGTGAAATAAAAATATCCAGATCTTTTTCCATTAATTTATTAATAAAAATTTATGTATGTTGTAAATGCACTTACGTTAGATTCCTAACAGTCGTAAAATCGATTTCAATAAAGGGCTTTGGTGTCAGTGAGCGTTAGAGGTTCAGCGAATGAAAGATTAAAAAAATACATTGATTGATGGGTCTATTCGTAGTAGTCTGTGGCTATATTCATTTCATCTCGCTCGAATCTCAGTATTTTTTCCCAATCACGGTATGTTATTGATTTTGTATACGATTTGGATAAGATTAATCCAGTTTGCACTCTCAGCTATCTTAAAATTGGCGTGAAAGCGACGTGATTAGACGAAACAAGTATATCAAAGCATGAGTGCTCTATGCACGGATGAAATAATATTTTTGTGAAAGGGAGAAACGAAGAATGTGAATACACATGAAAAGTGTAATACATTTCTGCGTAGGTTAACGTATGTGAACATAGTTATTTTTCAATGTAAAACGACTGTATAGCCGTACTTTAGACAAATATATATATTTTAGGTACGAGTGGAGAGGAGAGACGAGAGACGAAAAGTTGTTCAGTTATTCCAGTCATAAACGATGCTAGCATTAATTACCCGTATTCTCTTATCTCATACTAGCGTTAATTCCTGTTCGCAGGTTGGGTCAGCTTTACGATTTAGGATACGAGGTTCCACGTTGAATGAGACAACTTTCCAGTAAAGTATTTGCTGGAAAAATGTGAGAATTACAACTGAGTTTTTGCCATTGCGTCTGCAGAAATTTTCGATAATTAAACGACACGCGTTAACACCGTGAGAATTTATGCGAATGAATCGATTTGATAAACAATGTAATTTCATTAACGAAGACGATTCTGAAGCTGCGATTAAACAGAATGGATCTCGCGATTTCATTCCTTTTTTCACGCGATTGCAGATTTAAATTAGAGCCGCTGATTTACGAGATACAAAATTAAATGCGCATCCGAGAATTAATGAGGTACTCGAAAAGGTGAATTCAACAGTCGATTTTTCTTACCATCTCCCAATATCTGGTTGATGATATTTTTCTCAATATGATTTATTTCTAA